GTGGAGTAAGCATATAAACTGAGCTGAACCTCTGCAACAAAGACATGGGAGATCAAGTGAAACCCATACAGATGGTGTTCCTGGAAACTTCAGCATCACAGAATAGGACAGGGGGGTGGACTGAGTGCTGGCTGGAAGAGGAAGCTGAATGGGAGCAGTGAAAGAGAAGAAAAACAGAAATACTACAGTTGGCATAGAGAGGCACAGCTATCTTTAGCTTTTATGAGCAGCGATTGATACAAGAGTCTTGGCGTGGTGCTGGGGGTTAATGCACTGGACTGCAAGGTCAATTTAAAATGCAAAGTTGGCGATTCAAGCTCACCAGTCGCTCCTCAGAAACCTTAGACGGGGTCACTGACTCGAAGACACTTAACACTAACAACACTGATACGGTAGCCTGCAGACATAGCTCAAAAAAGGGAACAAATCTTTACAGAGAGGACCACTCCCACCCCCTCAGTACACAGGGTTGACAGGGATAGGCAACATAGATATTGGCTACCCAAAATGGGGGGGGGCCTATAAAGGCAAGAAGTGACTGACTTACAAGCTTTCAAGAGGGAGCCTAGTTCCAGATGGGGCAGGGTAAGGTAGAATCACCATTGAATGATTTCCAATCCGTTGGGACCAGGGTGGTGAAAGGAAATGGGGATAGACTCTTGTGGTACAATAGTGAATGATTGCCATCAGGACTGACTGTGAGGTTAGGAAATATAGAGATAGATGTTTTTTGACAAAAAGAGAGTGACTGCAGCTTAGGAGCAGAGGTCCCTGGGACCATCAAATGAGAAGAATGGAGAGGCAGTGACATCAGGGATGGAGATACAGACGATGACGTAGACAGATGGAGTGCCTGGGGACACTGGACTCAGGAAGGGAGAAAGGCTGTATGCTGGTGGCCTGGGGGGGGGGGGGGGGGCCTGTGTGATGTCGTTGATTGCAATGAAATGAACTACGATAGGATGAGTGTAAAGCTGATGTTCTCCCATGTAAACCTCACAATAAAAACTTAAAAAAAAAAAAAAAAACCTGCTGCTCACTAAATCAATTTCTCCCTACACTAAATTGATTTAAGGGCTAATCAATGAGTCCTGACATGTAGAATGAAAAACACTGCTGTTAGATTAGGTGCTGTCGAGTCACTTGCGACCAACAGTGACCCTTTGTACAATAGAACGAAACACCACCAGGTCCTGTGCCATCCTCACAATTGCTGCTATGCTTTAGCCAATTGCTACTGCAACTGTGCCAATCCACCTAATTGGAGGTGGGGGGACAGGGGGAGGGGGTCTGGCTTCCTATTTTTCACTGACATTTCACAGGTGAGCTTGAACCACTGACCTTGTGGTTCTCAGTCTAGTGCATTAACCTGCCACACCACACCAAAAGTCCTTTCTCCATTTATCATGATGTTATTTAATTAATGGTGAGGATTTTTATTTTCTTCACATTGAGGAGCGGCCCATACTGAATGCTGTAGTCTTTGATCTTCATCAGTATTTTAAGTCATCGTCTCTTTCAGCAAGCAAGGTTGTACCATATGCATATCACAGGTTGTTAATGAGTCTTCCTCATTCTTCATCTAATCCAGTTTCTCTGATTATTTGCTCAGCATACAGCTAGAATAAGTATGGTGAAAGAATACAACTCTGGCACACACCTTTCCTGATTTTAATCCATTCAGTGTCCCCTTGCTCTGTGTACAGGTTCCTCATGAGCACAATTAAATGTTCCGGAATACTCATTCTTCGTAGCATGTCATGATCCACATAGTAGAAAACCCTTCGCACAGTCAATAAAGGACAGGTAAACATTTTTCCTATAGTCTCTGCTTTCAGCCAAGATCTATTTAACCTCAGCAATAGTATCTCTCCTTTGTCTGAATCCAGCTTGAGTCTCTGGCACTTCCCTGTCAATGTACTGTTGCAGCTGTTTTTTAATTACCTTTAGTACAATTTTACTTGAATGTGATACTAATGCTATTGTCTGATGATTTCTGCATGTCATCTGGTCACCTCTCTTTGGAATGAGCACAAATATGGATCTCATCCAATCAGCTGGCCAGGTAGCTGCCTTCCAAATTTCTTGGCGTAGATGAGTGAGTGCCTCCAGTGCCAAATTAGTTTGTTGAAAATTTTCTATTTGTATTCCGTCAATTCCTAGTGTCTTGTTCTTTGTCAGTGCTTCAATGTACCTTGAACTTCTTCCTTCAGTATCATTGGCTCTTGATTACACACTACCTCTTGCCTGAAATGGTTGAACATCAATCTTTAACATCAGTCTTTTTTTTTTTTTTCTTTTTAGTACAGTGACTTTTTTTTCTTTCCATCTTTTGATGCTTTCTGAAAAATTGTATTCCATCAATTCCCACAATCTTGTTCTTTGTGCTTCAATGTACCTTGAACTTCTTCCCTCCGTACCATTGGCTCTTGATCACATGCTACCTCATTAAATGGTTAAACATTGATTTTATTTTTAGTAGTGACTCTTTTTATTCTTTCCATCTTCTTTTGACGCTTTCTGCATCATTCAATGTTTTGTCCAAAAAATCTCTCAGTATTGCAAGTCAAGGGTTGAATTTTTTTTCTTGAAATTTTCTGTTCAGTCTTTTATCTTCTTATTTCAACTCCATTTACTTTAGCATCTCTACGCTGGAAAGCAAGTTTCAAAGTCTGTTCTGACATTCATTTTGTCTTTTCTTTCTTCATTGTCTTAACAACCTTTTGCTTTCTTTCTGTATGATGTTCTTAATGTCATCCCACAACTCCTCTTGTTTTCGATCATTAGTGTTTAATGATTCGAATCTGTTCTTGAGATGATCTCTAAATTCAGGTGGGATATGTCAAGGTCATATTTTAGCTCTCGTGTACTTGTTTAAATTTTCTTCAGCTTCAGCCTAAACTTGCATATGAACAATTGATGCTGTTCCATAGTTTGCCCCTGACCTTTTTATGGCTAATGATATGTATGTAGCCTTTCCACTTTCTCTTTCCACAGATGTAGTCAATTTGATTTCTGCGCATTCCATCTGGTAAAATCCATGTGTATGATAGTTTTTTTATGTTGTTTAAAAATGTATTTGCAATGAAGAAGTCAGTGGTCTTGTAAAATTTTATCATGTGATCTCTAGCATCATTTCACCAATGCCATATTTTCCAATGAATGACTCTTCTTCTTTTCCAGCCTTTGCATTCCATTTACCAACAATTATCAATACACCATGATTGCATTATTGATCAATTTCAGCCTGAAGAAGTTGGTAGAATTCTTCAATTTCGTCATCACTGGTTTCAGTGGTTGCATAAATTTGAATACAAGTGGTATTAGTCAGTCTTCCTTGTAGATGTATGAATATTATCCTATCACAGACAGCATTATACTTCAAGATAGATCTTGAAATGTTCTCTTTGATGAGGAATGCTATGTCATTCTTCTTCAATTTGTCATTCCCTGCTCATTAAACCATATGGTTGTCAGATTCAAAATAGTCAATACCAGTCCATTTCTTCTCACTAATGCCTAGTGAGATGAGGTCCATTTCATTTCTGACAACTTCCAATTTTCCTAGATTCATAGTTTGTACATTCTATGTTCCAATTATTAATGGATGTTTATAGCTGTTTTTCCTCATTTTGAGTTGTGCTTCATTAGAAAATGAAGGTTCCGCAAGCTTTACTCCTTTCGCACAATGATCAACTCTACTTTGAGAAGGCAGTTTTTCCCCAGTTGTATTTTGAGTGCCTCCCAAGCTGAGGGGCTCATCGTGCAGCACTGTATCTGACAATATTTTGGTGCCATTCATCATGTTTTAATATTCAATATTCTGTTGCTGACAGTGTTTCACTGCTAGTCAAAAGTTTTCAGTGGCTAATAGTTCAAAAGTAGTCTGCCTCCCCTTCTTCTGAGTCTGCCTTAGTCTGGACGCTGAGCTTAAACATGTGCACACTGGGTGTCCCTGCCGGCATTCAAAATACCAGTGGCATACCTTGCAGCATCACAGCAACACCAAGCCACCACAGTGTAACAAACTAACAGAAGAATGATGGGAAAAACACTGTAGAAGTATCTTTTTCCTAACTCAGCGCATATTTTCCCCCCATTGCAAAGAATATCACCCTTTAGAAAATCTTAAAAGAATGTCATTTCCTACAGAAGCATAAGGAATCCCACAGTGGACAAGCGAAGAAAGAATTCTTGGTCAAACTACTAAAGAAAAGACCTTAGGAATATTGACTCCTAGAGTCCTTAGGGAAAAAAAGATAAGATGGTGACTGAAAAGCTCGCTGCAACCATTGTTTTCCTAAATTGTTGTTGTTGTTAAGTGCTGTCGAGTTGGTTCTGACCCACAGAGATCCAGTACAGGGTTTCCAAGGAGAATGTGGTGAGCTTGAACCACCGACCTTGTAGTTCAAACGGCTTTGCAGTCTGGCGCATTAACCCACAGCACCACACCGGGACCCCTTTCCTAAACTGGTGCCCCATAAATCCTCACCTCCAGCACCTTAACTCCCCTGGCCTAGCCTCTACACCTTGTGATTCTAGAATCATGGTTACCTAAATTAAATCTCTCTACATCTCCTAAAAACACATATACAACACCGTAACATCAACAAGAGCACATATAAAATCACACATGATCCGTGCCTTCAATGTTACCCATAAACATTAAATTACAGAACTAAGACTAAAACTCAAGATAATAATCTAGTGTGGTGCCACAGGATAAGCACCCTACCTCAAGGTCAGTTTGAATCACAAGGTTGGTGGCTTAAATTCACCAGTTGCTCCTAGGACACCCTATACAGGGTCGCTATAAGTCGAAACTGACTCGACTGCACTTAAAAATAACAACATACAGTAAAAGTTTGACTTCTTTCCCAACAGATAGATGTGGGTTACTGCTGCCAGTCTACTCACCGTCACCCATACCACCCACCTAAGAGGTACCTCCAGAGTGTCGAGGGCAGTAAATGAGAATCTAAGAATTTTTAAGTACATACCTGTTTTTGGCCATAATGCATTGACTGCAATTTCACCTTTAAATTCTTCTGCCATTCCAAGTACACACATAGACATACCATACTTAGCAATGGTATATGCTGAAAGAAACCACAAAGAGAAATCATTTAAAAGCAAGGTAACTTTAGAGTTTGAATAGACAATCCTTTTTACTATTTCCTTCCCGGTATATTTTTTCAGAATTCTCCTTAATAATATAAAAAGGTAAGACATAGTTTTTAAAACATATTCTTTCTAAAATATCATCTTAATCGAAGTAGGTAAAATGGGATGAAGAACTAGTTTTATATATTTCCATTCTAAGAAAAAAACGAATACATTTTCACTTTTCTTATAATGGGAATGTTTCTTAACTTCCTTTTGCTTTTCTTTTTTTAAAGAATGAAAGGGATAATCTAAGGAAAATTACCACTAGCAAAATAACTATTAAAAAACTAGTAAAAATGGTTGCAAATTGAACCTAGTCAATTAAAACAGAACTATTTTGGTTTTATTCTGTGGGTTCCTATGATAGGTGCCTTTCCAAATCTTAGTGAATTATGCTGAAATAGGGCTAACTGTCTGATACTACTACTATTTTTAAGGAGGCATCTACACATAAAAAGGGCTTCAAAAAATTCATGGAAAAATTACACATCTTTAAGTTTCATTTTCTATGAACTTTTTGAAGCACCTGTGTCCTATAGGACAGAGTATAACTGCCCCATGGGACTTTCTACAGGAGCAGATCACCAGGAGTGGCTGGCTGGTTCTAATCATCAAACTATTTACTAGCAGCCAAGTACCACCAAGGTTCCTTAGCTTACTCAACTTAAATCATTAATTTACTTGAATGGATAGTTTTTAGTTGTTATTATTATTATTTTATTGTGAACTGAGGAATAGTTTACATGGGAGAACATCAGCTTTACACCATTGTTTTCATTGCAATGATTACAATCTCCTCTGTGCATCCTCATTCAACAGTATTTGCTTCCATCCCTCCATTTTTCCTTTTTTGGGGGGATGGGGGGTGGAGCGATATACACAAAAACACTCAGGAATATATAATAATTTAAGCAATCAAAGGGCACATTCTGCAAGCCTGCCACCTGGCTGCCAGCACCCTCTTTTTCTGGATAGTTTTTGACAAATCTTATTGTGAAATAAACTACATACAATAAAATACACCCATTTTATTGACTGGAAGGTATATGAGAAAGTTTTCTCCATGACTCTGTGACCAAAAGAACTAGATGGCACCTGGCTACCACTACCAACTGCTCTGAAAAGAATCACATTAGAAAGTTATGGATAGAGTGGAAGAAATGTGGAACAAAGCTCAAAATTATAAAGATGAAAAAAAGACCAGGTTTACCAGTCAGAAAGACATTGGAGGAACCCAAAACTGCGGTGCTCAACCACCCTTAAGGTCTGGAATGAAACTTACCCTTGTGGCCCAATTTTGAGTCAAACAGTAGATTTACAGAGGGGACAACACTAGTATGCTCACCATGGAATGAATGGTCAAGCATTCAAGGTCAAAGGGGCAACGGTTACCTAAGGACAAAGTTCAGAAAGGTTGGAAGGAGGGTGGAATGGAAACAAGAACCACAGGGAGGAAGTAGGAGAACTGTTAAGTGGAAGGGATTGCAATCATAGAGATGAAAAAAGTGTGTGATTTGTGGAACGTGAAGCTGATGACCTGCTCTGTAAACCTTCACTCAATTAACAATAAAAATTTCAAAAAAAAAAAAGTACCTTTTAAAAGAACATATAAAAATTAACAATTTACTTTCAAAAATACTACTGATTCTATATAGAAATTTCCTTTTGAAAATGCTATGTATGGATCACAGACTAAACTAACCAAGTTAACCACCCTCTCACCCTACCACCTACCACAGTGCTGTTTGAACCACAATGGATTTAGGTTCAATGGAGGGCTGAGATTGAGGATATGAGCAATTTTACTCTTTTTCAAATAAGGAATACATGCCTTAGATCTGAAAACAAAACAAAACATAGATCAAGTTAATAGCTTCCAACAATTTCTCTTCTTTTTTAAAGTTATATTTTAAACCATTCCTATGTGGCAACTAAACTTGCTCCATAATTTATAGATTGAAGAAGTTGGTAGAATTCTTCTATTTCATCCTCACTGGCTTTAGTGGTTGGTGCATAAATTTGAATAATAGTGGTATTAACTGTGCTTACCTGTAGGCGCATGGATATTATCCTATCACTTCCTGCATTGTACCTCATGACTGATCTGGATATCTGTCCTCTTAATTGTGTGAACTTGGGCAAATGACATAGCACACCTTATTTTCAGTTTTCTCATCTGTAAATATCAGTGATATCAGCTATCATATAGGACTGTCCAGAGGATTAAAATGAGAAGATATAGATGAGGGTATTGACAACAAAGCATAGACTCAACACGAAATAAGCAATGGTTCTGTTATGGTGCTGCAGGATAATGCACTCACGGCAAGGTCAGCAGTTCAAACTCACCAGCCACTCCTAGGAAACCCTATAGAGGTCCGCTATGCGTCAGAACCAACTCAATGGGACTTAACAACAACAACAAATTATAAGTATTACATGTGTTGATTTTCTTCATATTAGTAGGAATAGTACTCCTGCTACATAAGAGCTGTAATTTAGCAACATAACTCCCAGGACATTTCCAAATTAAATGTGCCACAACAAGGTAGGCAATTTGTTTTACAAAAGACTCAGGTCCAGTGTTTTCCAGATTTTTAATGCTAAACTAAAACAATGTTAATTATATTATATATTTAGTTCATAGACAATGACTTCTAGGACGTTGAACTAGCCCATTCTTCTTTCAAATCAGTTTTTTATTACCAAATGTACAACATTCTTGTTACTACTTGAAACCTCTTTTCAAGCTTACAAATCAAATATAATCAATTATCACTCAAAGGTATTTTGTACATGTTGTTTTTCATTTCCTCACTTTTATAGGAGTGTTGCAGGGAAAGGTAAACAATACTGCAGCTGATCCTCATTAAAACAGCAAAAGTACATCTCAAAGCAACAAAAGGAAACAAATCAAATCTATTCCAGACACAAGTCCACAGTATCGACTCAAAGAATCATCGCATCCCTTTAGCGGACTGTCTGTCTTATACCAGCTTCCCGTTGAATGCTTATTCAATAAAGCTTTTGTTTTACAAATTTGAAGAAAAAAAAAAAAGATTGAGCTCACTTCATTTACATTATGAACATGAGCTTCTCCTTTCTACCTGCACTTTACCCACCTGGCCCTCAGCAATAGTAATCAGGTGCATTTTCCCCAGTAACATGCCCTGTTATATATTATAATGAAAATTCTTAGCACCAAGTTTAGACACTAATATCCTCAGTTTAATAAAATAGTTAAATTGATTGAAAACTTACTGTGTGCCAGGCATTGTGCTTATTTATATTAACTATGTGACTTAATCAGGAGTTGCAAACTCAAAGGACTATAAGGCATTTGAATGTAGAAATAAAGTCAGCTGGGTTTAAGAAAAATCAACTGTTTAGAAATACAATCAAACTTCATTACTGAACTCCTGAAAACATGCAACATGATGGGAACACATAATACTGGATACTATAAATTAAATGAAAAATTTTTTAAATAAAAATTTTTCATTATGAGTTTTTCTTTCCTAACTTACACCTTTCACAAATGATTAAAATCTTGACAGCTTTTTGGTTTGGCCCCAAAGGGCAATGTCAGGTCTTGCATTTGGAATCACAATGTGTCTTTAGCTGGGAGAAATATTTAGTTTTATATATATATAAACGGTTCATAAATGTAGGAGCTTTCAAAAATGAGTAGAGTCTTTGCATAAGGGTTTTTATTTTTAAGGATCTCACTTTCTGAAATATTTGTAGAACTGTCATTCCAATACACTCCCACTGATTTTTAATACTTTAGGACTCTATAACTTCCACTTACAAGTTCTTCAACCACACTAACAGGATTCACCGAGAAAGATTACTGAACGAGGTTACTTCATTTTCCTTTAATTTGAAATCAGGATGCTGATTTTGTTTTGAAATGAACCTTCAACTCTGTAATTGTAGGAATGTGACTTAGGACAATTACATTCATTTTTGGAAAATGACCTCCTATAGGAAAGTGAGACAGAATGTTCTTGCAACATGAATTTTCTAAAGACACAATTGCACAAGGAATGAACAGAGAAAATCACATATTTGTATTTACATAAGTCATAATGTCAACTAAAAAGGCCAATCTTAACCCAGTTCTGTAGTTGGGAACTGAGTGAGGAATTTTCTCTTTGAGAGGCAAAAAAGTTGATTTCTTTCTAATTAAAAAACAAAATCTCTTCAAAAATAAGCTATGGCCACTCAACAATATAACAGCAAATGACCAGGTTTATACGCAAAACAAGGAAAGACCTGAACTGTCAATATTCAAGCCATACAAGTAGATTTAATTCTCAGTGGTAATAACATAGTTCATTTTTAACTGGAGTTCTGGTATGGTGCTGCATGATAATGCACTGAACAATATGATTAGTTTGAACCACAAGGTCAGTGGTTCAAACCCACCAGCTGCTCCTCGAAAATCCTATACAGGGTCGCTATGAGTCAGAACCAACTCAACAGCACTTAACAATAACAATAAATTTTTAACTTTTTAGCAAAAAGCAATAAAACAAACTATTTCTGAACTCCTGTAAAACATTTCAACATCAGAATTTTAATAAGTTTAAAGGTAACACTGGAGTCCTGGTGTGGCATTGTGGAATAAAGCACTGGACTGCACAGTCAGTTTGAACCACAAGGTCGGAAATTCAAACTCACCAGCCACTCCTTGGAAACAGTATACACGGTCACTATGTGTCAGAAACAACTCAATGGCACTTAACAAGGACAAAAGTTAATACTGACCACATCAGCAGGACTGTCTACAGTTACAACTACTAATTTTGACAAATATACATTAGACTTTCTAAGACTTTTCTCAATGTCTAACAGTAAGACATTTCCCAATGTTCATATCGTAGTCACTGAGTCTAAAATCTTTTTAATCACATCAAAATCTCATGACACCATAAATATAACTTAATTGGTGGTATATCTGTATATGTGGCTTCATAATCTGCAATAGAAACTGCCATGAATGATTCAACTTTTTTATTTAATTTACCCTACTTAGCCTTAATTCAACATGCTGAGCATCAGTATTCCTGGTTAGGTTTATATTTTTTTTAATTGTTTAAACAAACACTTATATTCATTAAAATTCTCTCATAAACTTGCCAGTTATGAAAGATATTGAAGTATCTCTAGGCATTTAACAACAACAACAACTGATATGAGAGTACTATTTTACGTGTAGTAAGTTATCATCACAACCTTTTCTCTACGCCTCCCATAATTCCTACTATGGTTTGATTCACTTTGGTTTCCATTCAACAAAGATAACACTTTGCATAGTGAATTCGTAGAAATATGCCTCACATCTACAAAGAGGCTCTTACCCATTTTACTTGAACAGATGGCCCTCTTGGCATATGTTTCCTCTTCCCACTTTAGATAAACATGGGTATAAAAAATATTTTTCTTTCTTCTTTAATATAAGATAAACAATGCAAGTACAATGACACGGCATCCAAAAGATAATGGAGCTCAGGGCCTATTCATAGAGGTAGCTACTTTTGCTACATAAGGAGCTCTGGTAGCATAGTGGTTATGAATCGGGCTGTGAAACTCAAAGTCAACAGTTTGAAAGTACCAGCTGTTCCACGGGAGAAAGATGAGGCTTTCTGTTCCTGTAAAGATTTGCAGCCTCGGAAACCCTGTACAGGGTCGCTATCAGTTGGAACCGACTCCACAGCACATAACCACCACCACTATTGCTACAAAGGAACACTATCTGTATGTGGCCAGATTTTCCAGTATTTCAAGAAAAATCAGAAACCTGGGTTTTTGTATAAATCTGATGTCTGTAACGTAGACAAGTAATGAAATTCTGAATGTAGGTAGCTAATGAAAACTTCCAGGGACAAGTTTTGCAGACCAAACAAAACATACCTGAGGACAAAATTCAGTTCTCTAACATAAGAAACTCTCCATTTATCCTTCATGATCAACCCTATTATATAGTTCTTTAGTATCCACACTTTACAAATAAAGAAAAACTGAATCTTCAAGAGTTACTTGCCTTTTACATTGAGGGGATTGCAATCATTGAAAGGGAACGAAGCATATGTGTTGAATGTAAAAGTGACATCTGCTTTGTAAACCTTCACTCAATTCACAATTGTTTGTTTTGTTACTTGCTGTTGAGTTGGTTCTGACTCATTTGTTGTTGCTGTTAGGTGCCTTCGAGTCGGTACCAACTCATAGTGACCCTACGCACAACAGAACGAAACACTGCCCGATCCTGGGCCAATCTCACAACTGTTGCTACGCTTGAGCCCACTGATGCTGCCACTTTGCCAATCCATCTTGCTGGGAGTCTTCCTATTTTTCTCTGATCCTCCACCTTACCAAACATGATATCCCTCTCCAGTGACTGGTCCCTCCTGACAATACGTCCAAAGTATGAGAGATGAAGTTTGGCCATCCTGGTCTCTAAGGAGCACTCTGGCTGCACTTCTTCCATCACAGATCTATTGGTTCTTTTGGCAACCCATGGCACTTTCAATATTCTCCTCCAATACCATAACTCAATAGCATCAATTTTTCTACGGTTTTCCTTATTCACTGTCCAGCTTTTGTATGCATATGAGGTTACTGAAAATACCATGGCTTGGGTCAGGTGTACCTTAGTCCTTAAGCTGACATCTTTGCTCTTCAACACTTTAAAAAGGTCTTGCACAGCAGATTTGCCAAATGCAATAAGTTTGATTTCTTGACTGCTGCTTCCATGAGTGTTGATGGTGGACCAGAGCAAAATGAAGTCTTTGAGAACTTTAATCTTTACTCCATTTATCATGATGTTATTTCTTGGTTCAGTGGTGAGGATTTTTGTTTTCTTTAAATTAAGGAGCAACCCATACCAAACACGATGGTCTTTAATCTTTATCAGTAAGTATTTTAAGTCTTCTTCCCTTTCAGCAAGCAAGGTTGTCATCATCTGCATATCGCAGGTTGCTAATTAGTCTTCCTTCAATCCTGATGTCATGTTCTTCTTCATCTAATCCAGTTTCTAATATTATTTGTTCAGCATACAGATTGAATATGGTGAAAGAATACAACCTTGGCTCATGCCTTTCCTGATTTTAAACCATTCAGTGTTCCTTGTTGTGCTCGAATGACTGCTTCTTGGTTTAAGGGCAAGCGCCTCATAAGCACAATTAAGTGTTCCAGAATACTCATTCTCTGCAATGCTGTCCATAGCTTGTCATGATCCACACAGTCAAAAATCTTTGCATAGTACAGGTAGACATCTTTCTGATATTCTCTGCTTTCAGCCAAGATCCATCTGATGTTAGCAATGACATCCCTCATTCCCCGTCCCCATCTGAATCTGGCTTGAACGTCTGGCAGTTCCCTGCCAAAGTACTGGTGCAGCTGTTTTGGAATTATCTTTAGCAAAATTTTACTTACATGTGACATTAATGTCAGTTTCAGAATGGCCAATAGTAGTCCATTTCAGCTCATTAATGCCTAGGATATAGATGTTCCATTTCATTTTTTACAACTGCAATTTCCTAGATTCATACTTCCTACATTCCATGTGCCAATTATTAATAGATGTGTGCAGTTGTTTCTTCTCATTTTAAGTTATGCCCCATAAGAAAATGAAGAACTTGGGTGTTAGTCATATGAGCTTTCTGTTACTTATATAACTAAAACTCAAGTTATTTTCAGAAAAGACAAGACCTGCCAGCTTGAGCAATCAATCAGAGAAGGCAATATATGCATATATGTATTTATTCAAGCAAATATTTGAAAATACTCTAACTACATGGTGGCGGTATTGTTGTTAAGTGCCATCAAGTCACTTCTGACTCATAGTGACTCTTTGTAGGGTTTCCAAGAAGCAGTTGGTGCATTTGAACCGCTGACCTTGTACTTAGGAGTCCAGTGCTTATCCTACAGTGCCACAACAGGACTTAGTCTTTATTATATTCACAGAGAAAAGGAGCTCTAAATACACCTACTTATTTAAAATTGTTGTTGTTGTTAAGTGCCGTCGAGTCGGTTCCGACCCATAGCGACCCCATACAGGGTTTCTGAGGCTGTAAATCTTTACGGGAGCAGAAAGCCTCATCTTTCTCCCATGGAGCGGCTGGTAGTTTCGAACTGCTGACCTTGCGGTTCACAGCCCGATTTGTAACCACTACGCTACCAGAGCTCATTATTTAAAATACTACCTGCTAACTTGGAAAGGAGTCCTGGAAGTGCAGTGGGTTCTGAGTTGGGCTGCTAATTGTAAAGTAAGCAGCTGTAATCGACCAGTCACTTTGCCAGACAGAGATGAGGTTTTCTGCTCCTGTGAAGATTTACAGCCTCAGATACCCTATTCAGGGTCACTATGAGTCAGAACTGACTTTAAGGCATACGATCACCACCAACCACCATGGACTTGGAGCACTTTAAGGACTTCATAGGGACTGACTAGATTTTAAACTGTTCTATTGTTGTTGTTGTAAGTGCTGTCAAGTCGGTTCTGACCCATAGCGACCCTGTATAGGGTTTTCAAGGAGCAGCTGGTGAGCCTGAACCGTCGACCTTGTGGTTACAAACCGACTTTGCAGTCCAGCGCATTAACCCACAGCACCACACCAGAACTCCACACTGTTCTAATACTATGGTTCAACTCTATTTTCCACTTAGTTCTCTGGGAAAACATTGCAACATTTCCCCCACAACTTTTCCTTCTAACTTACGTAAGATAGGTGCCTCTGGTATTGACATTCATCATCAAATCCACTCTCTTTGTAGGTGTTTCCAATGTGTTGGTCAAGCTAATAGCACTGGCATTATTCACCAAAATATCAATTCCTGTTTTCAAAATAATCAACTTCAAGTTATTATTAATTTACATTATCAAAGACAGAAATAAATACATTCAGCCTATATGAGAAGGCTTCAACAAATTTGTGGTAAAATTCCATTATCTTTGAATCCCATTTATCCACAATTTTTTTTTTTTAACTGTGAATTCAGTGCATGTTTACAGTCAAAATTATAAGTTTTACATTCAACAAATCACACACTTTGTTTCATCTCAATGACCGTAATCCTTTCCATGACATAACAGTTGTCCCGGTTCTTCCCTGTGGTTACCCATGTATGAATATCCTCTTTCAAGCTCTTAAATATTTGTGGGATATATAAATACATACATCTCTCACTCTTCCTCCCATACCCATTCAGGCTGTTTCTTTGCCCATGTATCTAAACACAGAACAGTTATTCCAAGGGTGTTCCACAAACTTTTTGAAGCCCCCTTGTATAATTGAACCCTCACTTTATCTGCTTTAATTGCATTGACTCACAAATGCTTCTTTTCCATAATATGATTGACAAATATGTCAATGTAAGACTTAGGAGCTATGTCAACACAGCACCCAAATGATTTTCATAGGCACACTGGCGATAGTCAATCACCAGAGCTCCCTGTAAAACGCTAAAGATGCTTAGTCCTTAATGATTCATCTCTTCTACACTTACCTCCTGTCTTCCCTCCCTGTCTTCAACAACCTTAGGTCAACTTCCTTAAAGTCGTCCCTTCTCTCTAGAATCTTTCCAATGCCTGCCCTCCTTCCAAGAACACCAAGGCCCCTCACTTACAGGAAAGGGCTTTTTCCTGGTCTTGGAACTAGGAAAAGAGAAAAGACCTTGGGTTTCAATTCCAGACAAACTCATCAAAGTAAATCAAGTATTCTTGGTGACCTATAACCATTATCATTTCTGCCTATTTTATCTCTACTCATACACAACATATTTTGTTTACAATTTAGTAAAATAAAAATAGTATAATACAAATGTATGTCAAGCACTTCTTGTTTTCCTGCATGATCTTGTTAACAACTCTTTTTATAGGGTACTTAATATCCCATCAAATATTTGAATCTACTATAAATACGGTATCCACCATGATTAGGAGAGAGTAGAGGTGGAGCCACTAAATAGCTACTTATGTTCAAAATACAATAGTAGCGACTTACATTCTTATTGGAATGGCAGGAAAGAAGAATAGAGAAACAGAAAGAAAAAAAATTTAAATACATCAAAGGGGACACTAAGAGGAATTGAAAGAAACTTTAAGAAAAATTCTCCATAATGACAATCCCACTATAAATTTATAAATTTAGCAATAAGATAAGAGTGTATCTGATGGTCCTCTCAATGCCAGGTATCAAAATATAGAGGAAAAAACTTTTTTTGCAAGGACAGGGGAAATTGTTGCTGTTGTTAGGTGCCATCGAGTTGGTACCAACTCATAGCGACCCTATGCACAATAGGATGAAACACTGCCTGATCCTGGGCCAACCTCACTACTGTTGCCATGCTTGAGTCCATTGATGCTGCCACTTTACCAATCCATCTCTCTAGGGGTCTTCCTCTTTTTCTCTGACCCTCCATCTTACCAAATATGATATCCTTTCTCTAGCGACTGGTTCCTCCTGACAATATGTCCAAAGTATGAGAGACGAAGTTTGGCCATCCTGGTCTCCAACAAGCACTCTGGCTATACTTCTTCCAACACAGATCTATTGGTTCTTTTGGCAGCCCATGGCACTTTCAGTATTCTCCTACAATACCATAACTCAAAAGGGGAAATACATCCTCTTAATTAATTATATCTACCAACTGAGTTCAAATTCCCAGGTCATAACTGGCAGATCAATGAAACGGATCAGTTAAAATAAAAATTAAGATCTCCTGTTATCTCTCTCATTTTCTCTATTCATGGAAAAGTACATCATATAATTGACAAAGTTGAATTAATCCAATTCTGAAGATGCTGAAGAAACAAATACAGATCCTGTGGAAGAAGACCTAAGGCACAATGGCTAAAAAAGAAATCCAGATCATAGATGCATCTGAGTGAAATCCCTTTGTCTGGAACCAAGCAGAATAAAAACACTAGAGGGGATGACTGTAGTTGTTATTAAGTGCCATCAAGTTGGTTCCAACTCATAGTGACCCTGTATACAGGAGCAGCTGGTGGATTTAAACTGCCAACCTTGTGGTTCACAGTCTAGCGTTGATCCTACAGCATCACACTAGGACTCCAAGAAAGAGAAAATTTTAGTTTTGGTCTTCAAGTTCTCTGTGGCAGCAACAGGAGAAAATTTATGAGATTCCAATTTCTCTGTAGGACCCTAATAATGGAAGCGGAGGTACTACACATTTTGATACTCAGGCATATATGAAGGGGTCTCAAAAAGTTCATGGACAAATGAAAATAAAAAGATGATAGAATATTTCATGAACGTTTAAAAGTCACCCTCATATTACTGGGTCTATGCTGTCATGTCCTGCACAATGTATAAATTTCTCATAAACCAGGTTGAACAGCACAGCTAGAACTCTTCAAGAAGATCAATTAAACAGGAAGTGAATTCTAGGCCTAATTAGCATGGCCTTAGAGTACATTTAGCCAATGTCCTTTTGACCCATTTCAGAGGTTTATGGGGCAATATCAGGTACCAGCTGACTTACTAGTGGATATTAATGGAATCATAGAAAATGAATAAAAATTGAGAAAAGGCTTAGATAGATTATTCCTCGAAGACAAACTCACCAGTTGATCAACAGAAGGAAGCAAAACTGGAGAATTCTAAGGAACCCTCATCTACCTTCTCCCCTGAGTTCCTCCCTAAACTAATCAGGTCAGATTTTAGGACATTAATTTGAAGACTTTTACCAGTATGTTGAGTCACTGGATAAAAGATCATGCATATGAGTATGGTTCTTTGACGTCTGTTTGTGATGACATTAGTTTAAAGAAAAAAAAAATTCATAATCTCTCTCCTTCTCACATGAGCATTACATTACTTTGGGAAAGGCTGCTTGCCATGAGCTGAGACTGTGAATCTGAAGGAGACGCCCAGCTTAAGTCAAAGTCCTAAGCTCCAGTCCAGTACACCACAGTATTCTGCACTGGGGTTTAAGAGTACAAACTTGATGAACAATAAAATACTATCTTGTTTCTCATTTGCCAGAGTCCTTTACATGTACATAGGATCCCATGGAACATTATGGAGGGAGAGGGGTAATGTCAGGGCAGGATCCAGACATGGCTAGTTGGCTGGCCATAACATCATCAAACACTTACCTAGCCCCTGAACACCTGCCTTCTAGGAGCATAGGAATTAATTGGGGCGATAAAAGAAATATTTAAGAGTCCTGGTGTGGCGCTGTGGGTTAATACACCAGACAGCAAAGCCGTTTGAACTGCAAGGTCAGTGGTTCAAGCTCACCAGTCACTCCTCAGAAACCCTGTATAGGGTCACTATGGGTCGGATCCAACTCGACGGCACTTAACAACAACAACAAAAGCAGTCTAAGACAAGGATCAAAGGAATTTTAGGAATACAGAGGAAGATGAGCTTTAAATAAGCATAAAAACGTAGGATTTCAAAAGACAGAAGGGGAACATTTCAGGAAGGACTGATAGTGGAGAATTCTCAGGAAGGGGAAGAGAAAAAGTGGTAGAAAAATTCAAGGTAAGGCAATGAAAGCAATCAATTTTGACTGGAGTAGGGAGTTTATAAAGGAATGAAAAATGAAGCCTCCAAAAACCTGTTGCAATCAGAGAGTTAAATATTTTGAATGCCAATAAGGTATCTGCATTTTATTCAATGTTGTTAAGTACAGTCGAGTCAGTTCCAACTCGTAGTGAACCTATATAGGGTTTCCAAGGCTGTAAATCTTTGCAGGAACAGAAATCCTCATCTTTCTCCTAGGGAGCAGCTGGTGGTTCTGCAGTGCAGTGCATATCATTCAGAGCCACGGCATACCTACTTTATCCAACAAACACCAAAAAGTCTTCTGAAGACGTTAACTCAAATGGGGACAAGGTAAGCAAATGAGACCTGGGAAATGTTTGTTAGGTGTATGTTATTGTCAAAGTCCTAACTTTCATTGTGTGTGATGGATTTACAGGTGCTTGTTACAGTATTTTCTAAATTTTGAGTAATTAACAAGTCATCAGATGGTATGATCTGATGCTTCTACATGAGCAAATAACTAATTCTGGTTATATTCCAAAGACAAAGAAAATGTTAAAAAAAAAAAAAAAGTTTTAAAAATTTAACAGTTATACCTAGAATTTTACCCAATATTCAATAATTATTTCAGTATTAAGGCACTACCTCCAAATTTCTCGACTGCTTTCTCCACTGCATTATTGATCTGCTGTTCATCTCTCACATCAACAATACATGGCAAGGCCTTTCCTCCAGCTGCTTCAACTACAAAGGAGAAACAAATGAAAAGACATTAAAGTATTTAACTGGTACACATTTCACTGGTACAACAGTTAAAAGGAACGAAGAGTATTCAATTTTCACAAAACTAACATAAATTGCTATGTCTTATAGCCAAGAGTGACTCCTTAAAATAGGTCAGATGGACTAGCTAGCTCATCCAGCTTCAGATTGGCAAGGCTAATTCTACTACAAAATATTTAAAAAGCCATTAATTTTTAAAAATTCTATTTAAAAGCAAAAAAGGAAGCTAATTAAAAAAAAAACAAAAAACCTTTTTAACTATGAAAATTTTCAAAAAATATGCAAAGTATAAAGAATAGTATCATGATCTACCATTATCTATTGCCTATGTTAAATAATTTATGTTTTGCCAGTTATTAAATTTGTTTCTGTATAGGTTTTTGCTGATACATTTAAAAATAAATCCTAGGAATCAAGTCACTCACAAATACTTCATATGCATTTCTCTAATATAACCACAAACTATTATCATAACTAACTAACTGACAATATCAGATAAAGGTAACTTTTTTAACTATAAAATTATTTTCTTGGTGCCTTTTGCATGGTGCTTAGTACAATG